TTGGAACATCGATTTTCGGTTTTATTCATTGTTTTGTCGCTTCACTATAGCCTGAGAATTTATCGCTTCACGATACGCTTTGTTTCCTTTTCCAAATTTCACCCAGATCCTTCAACTGTTTTATTGTAACAGGTAACTAACAGATAGACGCAGTTCTATTCGTATTTATAGTATTTGTGTGGATATATATATTTGCACATACTTTTTCATGTGCAAGTGAATTTTAACAAAATGATATACTATTATTCATAATATTCTACATAATTTGTATAAATTGATTAATATTTGACAATAAAAGCTACTTCATTACTCTTATGTTAAAGTACTTTCCACTAGAAGCTGAATATGGTGAAATTTGGGGTCTTTGAATTGTTGCAAGCAAAATTGAGCTGTATTCAATGACATTACAATTTAAATTAATATGATTGCTTTACTTTTTTTTTTATATTTCGATACCTTCAATGAACACCACGCTGACTTTATATTTGTTATATTTCAATTTCTGTTATTTTTGTAAACAGCCAGCAATTTATTTACTAATATAATGCTCCTGCTCCCCGAATTTTGTTAAAAAACAAACAAACAAGGAACACAATTCGAAAAATGCCATAAATGAATTGTGTGGAAAAAAAAGAAATGAAAAACAAATTAAAAACAGAACTGGGGCCTTACCATGAACTCTTATTACGATTCATTTTAGGACCTAAAATGAATCGTTGTAAGACAGCGCTACATGAAGTTTATATTACCATACCGCTTTTTTGTCGTTACGAACCTATACTGAACTGTAATAAGAGTTCATGGTAAGGCCCCAGGTCTAAAACTTAAGCTGACGTAGTGTTAATTGTTGTTTACACGTTTATGTAGGTAAAATCTGGACTTTTTTTCTTAACATTTAACTTTTTTTTAGTTAAAGATAGGAAATGTCATTAAGACATGGCGTAACCTCAGGCATGGCGCTCAGGAGACAGGCATATTGTAGGAGGAAGCTTATTTTTTGACAATAGTTTGCTACTAATCTTCTGATCATCATACGCTGTAACGCGGTAAACTGAAAGCTCCTTAACGAGGAGTTTCGCCAGGCGTTCTCAAGGACGCTGGTAAAAGGCTCAAAAATGAAGCTACAGGTAGAGACTTAAGGTTGGAGTACACTTTTGAGCATTTTAGGGCTTTCGATTGTTGGAGTGGGGCACCGTGTACGTGTACGCGTGCCTCCATCAATGGTAGAATTATTTTTCCAACAAGAAATGTTTTAAAGATTTTTTGAAAGATGTTCTGTGCTATTTTGTGTTCAATAAGGAGGCTGTTCCACGTTTTTGTTGCTTGGTAGCGTCGGTGTCCTCACTTAGATACTTATCCAATATTTGTACTAAGTGCTATACAAATAGTGGATACTTAAGTGAGGGCACCGACCACACCTATGACCATGATTTACAATAGTTAACTTTGGTGCTATTACACCTCGTGTGTCTTTTGTCCTGGTAACAAGTCTTTTCGGCTCGGTATCTTTACTATCTTCAGACGTACAACCAGTCCCGCCTGTTAACAACTCCAAAATATAAAGAAGTTACTATTAATACAGATAATTATCTATTCTAACCAAGGTTCTTATTGCTTTTTTCTGTAGAGCGAATGCCTTCTTTACGTTGTAGTTTACCCCATTATTATTACCCCAACCAACCTTATAATATATCGTAAATGTGACTCTACCATATCATGATACCATAGCATGATATACATTATTAACTCGGCGATGGACGCTTTGGCCCGCAGGGATCGGAGAGCATAGCAAGTTGAGCCAATTTTATTTTCTAATTTGCAGAGTTCTTATTGCCAATTTAAACACGAGTCATTGTAGATTTCCAAATACTGCAGATTCTACCGTTAGTATAATTTTTCATCGATCGTGATGAATCTATAGTTTTTTTAATGAATATATATACCAAGTGACGGGACGAACAAGTCGTGCGCCTGGTGGTGAGCTACATGCCAGTCCATAACAGTTGCAGTGCCCCTCAGAAATTTAAATCGCAAAGATCTGAGAGGCCCTGCTACTGAGCCTGTCACCCTGAGACACAAGTTGATAAGTCCCATGTACCGGTAATTTCAATTACTGATTACATTACTGCTGGGCGTCAGTAATTGGTAAGGTAGTAGTATTTCCCTGGACGAACTCTTTCATAAGGAGCTCTATTGCTGCTAAATTCGTTTATCATTCGAATGGCTTGACTTAGGCCAATAATATAAATAATTTCATAAAAGTGTCTCGATATAGTGGTTTGAGCGCATGCCAATACAAGAAATAATAAAATTGTTTATAATAAAGTCGGCACTATTAATTATACTGTGCCTCTGTTTCACCCGTTTCACCATACACTCGGACCATACTGTTCCAAGTCGAATATTGCAGAACGGCAACTCCGCAGAATATTCGTTTTACATTAGCGTTTTCTCATTTTTTAAAAGTTGAAATGACGATTAGGTGCTCACGTTCTATATGCTTGGTTTTTCCTTTGATGTGTGGCACAATTCCATCCGTCATCATTCCTCAATAATTTTAGCTTCGGCTCATCACATTAGCAGCGAGTGTCGATGCTTACAGATTGTGAAACACCAACATGATGATTTTTAATTAGCGAAATTATTTTAATCTGTTTATACTAATTTTATTTTACAGTTTTGTTTTGTTGGTCCATACCAAAATTGGTAAAACAGAACACTTATGGCGACCGACCGTATAGCCAAAACATTATCTCTACCTATACCTACACACGTGTATCTATACCTAATTGATGTAGAAATTTGTAACTTGAAACTAGTATAGAAATAAAGACATATTTTATTGAATTGAGGTTGATTTCAACCTTGTCACAAAGCATTATTAAGTTTGAAGTCAAATATTGGTTGTATGGTGATCCACTTAACTCTCTACACGGCTTTTCTTTCTCCTTTATTATTTATTAAAGAAATCTATCAAAACATGTGTTAAATTTCACTTTCTTGAAGCACGTAGTAAAAAGGAAGGATTAAAAATAATCCCGACTAGTCAACGTGCCTTTTAACAAATTGCTGATCGATACCATTATGAGCGGGCCGACGTTTTTAAACGGCGTCTATTCTGAAACCAGTAAAAATAGTCGCAGTAATTGACACTGAAATCGATGCATTACAGTCGATGTGTGCGGTCGATGTCAGCGCACGAGAATCACGCATTCACCCTACCATAAATGCACGCGGAACTGCTGTCAAACACAAAACCTAAAAAAAGCACAAAAAACTTGTATGTTTCCTTCGAAATCTAAAAAACCGCTCACCCTTTCACGTGGCAGTCCTTGACCCTTGTTTGAATTCCTTTTTAAGACGGTAATTTAATATTCTCTAGTCATAAAACAGACTAAATTGTGTTCTAAAATATTATGGTGCGTATGTTTGTTTATACAGATAACTGTCAATTTAAATAAAAAGAATTCAAGATGAAAATAGTCGACGATAATAACACAATTACATCAATATTTTTCAACAATATGTTACTTGATTTAGGGAGGATCGAAGGCGCAATACCAGAATACTCGTACCATGGAACTTCCGTCACTTGAATCATGGTTTCGTCAACAATGGTTTTATCAGGTACTCAACCAAAATCTCTCGTCTGCTCCCGCGAATGATTTAAGAAATACAAATAAGGAAAATTTCTAAGTGGGTAATTTATTTCTGCATTTGTAGAGGTGTAGTCGGATTTCTTTCCAGTTATTAACCCACCCCTTAATCTTAGATTTCACCTACTGCACCTACACATCGATGCATGTTGATTATTATTTTACCTACAGAACATAAATCCTTGTATTGCGTCCTCGTGAATCCTTAATGTCCGTTTACAAATAGTTTCAATGCTCTTATATATAAACAATATTACAAGTAACGTTACACTTTTCATTTAATTTGACTAGTCGCATCTTGCCTTTGAAATCTTTTTTTCGTGAATTTTATTGATAAGTGATGTTTTGTGTGCACCTTCTTTGCCTAACTCTTATATTTAATTCCGACATTCAGGATTCACATAACTCGCTGGCGATGTTGGTTTATAAAAATGTTTCCCTTGCTGTGCGATTTATGCGAATTCATTTATTTCACAATGGTTAGGAACACTAACCGTTTCCCATACCGGATTTCACCACTTGAATCTCGATAAATGTATGGTTAAATAGTGAGGCGTAATTTACAGCAGCGTTGCGCCCGCCGGCGCGGCGCACGTCTCTCATCGCCTGCCAACTTGAGAGCAGTTTATCCCATCGGCGCGCCCGGGCATCTTTGGGCTTTGTAACGTGTTGACAACCGGCAGAGAACAGCTTATGAGACTGCTTTAAATATTCTCTTGAGTGCATTATTTACATACATTAGGTACTTTAACAATACGGCGATGATAATGTTGGTGGTGCCGTAAAACACTATCGCTACATTCTTATTTTTATTAAAAACTAAATCTAAAGATAGTGTCTATGTAGCTAAGTAGCGCAATGCAACATCTGTCTTGAACTTCTTAGAACTGAGAAATATTTTATGTAAGTGAACGGCCCAATTTGGATCGGTCGCTGGTTTGTTTAAATTACGGCGATTAGGTACCAGAGGCTAGCACGTGGCCGACAACAGACGAGCAACAGACGAGTTGCGATCGATGGGAACTTTACAGCGGACAGCAGCGTGCAATTATAGCACCAATATAATGTGGAACGTGTAGCTATAAACACGCGAGTACGCCTGAAACCTTTCCGTTTGGCCGTGTATCAACGCGTCGTCCGTCAAACTGTGAAAGTTATGAAACACGTTTACGTTATCTCTAGGACGTTGATTCTGTAAAACATCTTTGCTGTCATCGGCATAGGAAATATTAAACGTTTTTTTAGGTTGAAATTTTTATGCAACATAATTTGTAGCGATTTAAGTATGTATTTGTTCATGCAAATTCGAATAATTCTAATAGAACGTATGCTCCTTATCTTCAGGCACTGCATCGATGTTCCCAATGCGCGGTGTTCATGGGCAAATGTTGTCCAGTGGACCACTGGGGAGCTCGGCTATTAGTGGTCTGGGGAGTTTTGGCCTGTCATCGGCGCTGCCCGCGCTGCCTCCGGACCGCAAGCCGTATTCTTCACCGCCGCCGACGCCGCTGCCTGCGTTAACTGCAAACCCATGCCCCGCTGTGGGACGTGAATGGGTTGATACGGTATGATTTATAACGAAATAAAGAATAGAAACGATTTAGAACATAAGCCACCCGTTGAGAAAGTATACACGTAAAGGTGTCTACAAGTAAGTTCTTTATACATATTATAATTAGTATGATTCAATTGCCCTTCTGCGATTTAATAATGTTCACAAATACAGTCAAATAAAAAAGTAGCTATCATCTAGAGATTATTTGTCTTAATTTTATAAAAATCAAATTGAATGGAAGGAAATACTGGTGAAATAAACAAACTTCAAAATTATTTGGAACCATTTCAAAAGTTTAAATTATTGAAGCAAAGTTCTCATTACACTCTTTAGATGATTAGTGACTTTTTTAGGAGTAGGGGGCTTATAATATAGTCTTAGTAGTTAATTATTTTAATAATATAACCCTTGACCTTTAATAATTATCAAGGTATTTTGAACGAAAACGGTTTGGGATATTACGTAAACAGTTAAGTAAACAGAGGTTGCAAATGGACAGAGTTAGTGGAAGCCACCAAACCGTAAAAAAACGAATAAACAAATAAAACTGAGAAATCTAATTGTATGACAAATGAAATCAAGCTCAACCCAATAATCACTGCGGTTTTCTTATTATTATTACGGAATAATAAAAGAAACACCGAAGTGATTGTTACCCTATACCCTGACATCTACGTAAATGTCAGGGTTCATCTGCCGTAATTAGTATAATAATCTTTATGACCACAGTGACGCTATTTTCATGTTTCCGGTACATTTGTTTTATGCTATATTCTTAGTCTATGGATATATTAATTTCATTGTAAAATAAATACATTCGTACATTCGTTGTTGCATTTTTTTTTTATTTCCTTCGATTTGTCATATTAGCATCTTTACCTTGAATTTACAGTTTTGATTGTTGATATTTCAAATTCTTAGTCCCATGTCACGGCTCACCATGTTTAATTTTCTATTATAGTTCTTGTATATTAACCGCTAAAAGCGCAACGTACAATTTGGCGTATAAAAATTTCACACGGTCGGTCTTCCGTGGTCGCTGGTGACTATCAACACCGTAAACTAATGGTAGGGTAACTACAGGGCACGACAACTGTAACTATGTACACGCCGGTTTGGAACCGAAGGTTGAAATGTTCCTTTAAATAATGGTGCTAAGTGAGATTTACGTAGGTACAATTAAAAACACATCATACTTGAACGGAGGTGACGTGGCGAGTTGAATTTAAGTTAAATCTTAAGTGTCAAGCCATTTCACGTCAACTAATAGTTCTAGTATACATAATGTGGTATACAGAATTGAAATTGCATTTATGGAGGCGAAATTATTTTTGTTGTTGCCCTCATCCACATCAAAATAACGCGAGTAGAGAGAGAGTATATTGAGCACACGGTAGAATTTGTTGTAATTTTTCAGTCGGTATAAAAAAAGGGAAAAAGACGTGAAGTATATGTATGTATGTATAAAATATAATACCTATATGTTATTATAATATGTAATAAATAAACAACTATCTCAAATTCAGTATAATATTGCTTTTATAGTTTTGGCTCTGATCACTGCTTAATTAGCATTAGCATTGATCCGTGCTTAGTCATAAAAATGGTAAAAAAAAGAAGGTGAAATATTATTTTCATAAAAATTTGATCCCAAGCACTGACGATTGGAGTCTCTTAACTCTTTTTGTGTTCTATCGTCTCTTACCTCTCTGTGTGTAAGTCCGTCTGGTGCCACCGTCACATTTACACCATTGCACTTTCCGTCAAAGGAGTAGAGTCCATCCCCACACTATTGATGCCTAACATGGTAAGACCTCGCGGGCATCACCTTCGTTCCTTCCTCGAACCTGCAAGATGTTATCCCACATCTCTTTCTCCTGAAGTAGGTATTTCCTTTGCGCTATGACATAGGGTTCTTCAAGAAGCGTGTCAACAGGGCTCTCAAAGGCTGCGAACGCATAGATAGCTCCTCTGATGTTGCCGATATCCATAGGCGACGACGACTACCTCCAGTCAAGTGGTTTGTTACATAAAAAGAAAATACAGGAAATTTTTTGCCCGTAATTTCACTATGTGAATGCATAACAGCAATAGAAGAGAATACATTCAAATGCGTTAAAGCAGCTTGTATGACAATCTTCTCTCTTTGGAACCGTAGTTCCTTACACCCCATACGCGAAATCATTAGTTAGTAAATTTCGATAAGCATTCAAAAGTTTGAAACCTATCTGAAGCAACCGTCCGTTACTGGTTCTTGTTTTTAAACAGTCTAATTGCAGTTTGGAGAACCTCGCCACTGTTTGAAGAAATTTAACGTATTCATTCCTTCACACACATTATGACTTTTGTGTAGACACTTTAAATTTTCCGATGACGATAACGTTAAGACGTTCTAGTTCACGAATTATTAAAATTAATAGCGATTTTCTGCGTTCCGTTCGTTATATATCACTGTTTCAACTGCTTGGTTCTCGTAAATTTTTTGACATAAATATGTCCTCTTACTTTTTTAAATTCTTTTTATATATATATATATATATACATGTTTTCTGTGTGTCGGTTTTCTTCAGAATATACTTCGGTGAGTGTGTCCATGAACTCTATCAGCTCATTCCGCTCGCTCCTCCTTTTGACATACGGCGGTATAGGTCGATATTCCCTTCGGAGGTACTATGCGCTTTTCATCATCTTTTATCATGCGCGTATCCTAGAAATGGAAGTTTTGCCTTGCCTGCACTGTGTTACCGAGCGCACAGAACCTGCGCGTCCTCAAGGTGCTACTGAATAGGCATCTTTTGGGCGAGCTCGTTCTGCTGTGGACCCTATCTTTGTTCCAGGTCTATAATAGGTAGTGGTCAAAGGCAAGTCCATTTACTTATTTTTTATATGTATTATTATACCTATTTAACTACAATGAATCACGTCACGATTAACTATCCTTTCTTATCATTGACTTTCTCTTTCAATCATGTTCCAGCTCGTCTGTCCGATTCCTGTTATTTATAAATATCTATCCCTATTTGTAAAGTATGAAAGTTATGAAAACATATCGAGGGTTCAAAGGTAAACATCGCTTAGTTTGGAAATAAGTTATACGTTGGTAGTAAAATTGATGGATAATAGAAGTTCTTTAAAAGCAATTATATCTATGTACTAAGTATTTTAGTAGGCAGACTTTCATGAGAAAAATGAGTAATAAACTTTAGGAACGCTTTTTATAAATTGATATAATGTGATAGAAACAACTGGAAAGAGCTAAACGGGTTATTACCTTTATTTTCTTTTCACCCTCTAAGGTCATTACCACTTAGGACTATTGTCATCCAAGTACGCAGAAGCTGTATTTATACAAATAATTGAGTATGTAATCGATGATATAAATAAACTTTTGTCAAAAAGGTGTTTACTTCATGACAGTTTTCAACTTTATAAATTACAAATTACGCATATCAGTTTTAGTTTGTCGTATTTAAAAATAAAATAAAAAATGATTAAATTTCTTCCGTGCGCCGTGTGGTTAAAATAGAATTGTCCTTACTAGAGCGCTTCTATTCTGTCTTTGGTTTTTGTTTTGAAGCTTTTGGTTTTCGTTTGAGTTTGATAAGGATAGTTAAAGAGCGCGTGCGTGCGCGCACGTATTATCAAAAAATTAAAATTCAACACTTATATCAAATTGTTAGTTAAGGTTGTAAGCTGTCACGGAGGATTACTAACACTATTAATCACGGTATTCGACATAGAGAACCCTCTAAGCAACGTTTGCAAAAAACACTGTTGTGGCTTTGTGAAGACGGCAATTAAGTACTACCTCAGTCAGTTTAATTTTATTCCGTATATTTTATTATGTCTATTACTTTTTCATGAAAAAATAAATTTACAGTAACGCAGTGTATGAATGTTAATTTCTATAAACTTATCCCTCAGATATATTACTTATTTTAATTTTAGTAGCAGTAGAGCTCCTTGTGAAAAAGTCCGCCCAAGGTCAGTTTATTTATTTCTGCCACCAAGCAGCCAGCATAACTGTGTTTCGGTGCTGTGCTGGTGAAATTACAGACATATTGGAATTGTCAAATGTCAACTTATAAGTCTAAGCAGTTAAGGGTACATTGTTTCCATCCTCTAAGGTACAGACAGCAGCACATCAGCTTGACTCTTTGAGCTTTGGACTATTCTTATTGTTAGCGGCATAGAGTTGAATTTATATCTGAAGTGTCAAACTTCACGTGCTCTTGACTCTGCACAGTGGCAATATGACCCAACACTAGCCCTCACACTATTTGCATAAAGCATTTAAGACGGGAGGCGCTATTAGCGTTATTTCTCGAACAAAACGGCGCGGGCTAGTACTACAAGCAAACAAGTGCACTCAAATGCAATATTGAATTGTGTCACTATTTTATTTTATTTATTTATTTATTTGTGTTCAGGTTACAAATACCCATAAATACATAGGTACCTTATAGACTAACATACATAATAATACAATAAAACATTCGTATAATATATACCTTAAGGAATAACATACATACAATATAATAAAACACTATTTCTAACTAATCTATACGAATTGCACTCGTCGACGATGTGTGGCGCAATCTGGTGTCAGGTAACGGGCCGCGGAATCGCCGATACATGACACCCTATGTCCAACACTCTTGTTTCATGAAGGTCGATAGATGTTCGGTCGGCACACTCACCATAAACGAATTAAAATTTACGCCGTGGCGGGGCTCCAACCGCTCCACTCTCAGGGTGTGTTTGGCTTTATGTCTGATGTACTCCATTATCTTCTCAGACTTTGTGGAGTAATGCAGTCGTCACAGGTACAGCAGCGTCATCGGTATGGCCGGACGCAGCAGGAAGTGCGGTTCTGTCGGTGCTGTGCACACTGGTTATGGCTGGTGGGCTTCCTCCTCCTCTTCACCACATTTGTGAAGCCGTCCTCATCGCACCGGTCCGTTTGCCTCTGTGGTTTTGCAACTTCAGAGACAGGCTCACGGGGATTGTTTTGCTCTTAGCCGATCGCCGCCGCTCGAGTTTCGAACTGGCGGGTCGGCTCGTACACGCGGCTACAGGGGCGTATGCACGTGCAGGCGCTGACATGCACACGCGTGACTTTTCCGCCGGGACGGAGTTGCGGGCAGCAGGGCGCGGCGCATAACGTGTGACGACAGCAGCGATCGGTGAAGCAACCATTTGTGCCGACTCAAACCTGCTGCTGGATTCATTTTGCGCCCCGTGTTTCTAATCGTCGTGTGTTTATATTAGAGGGTTCTTTCTGATGACCTACATACCGTAGCAGCGTTGGTTAATAACGCAACTTGGGCACGCAGCTCACTTATGGTGTTATCTGAAGCCTCCAATTTAAACTGCAACTCGGCCAGCCTTGAGTTCAGGGAAGTAATATCCATCAGCAACCTTGTGACATCGACGTGATCGAACGGGACTGGAGGCAGTTTGTGCAGCTCCTTCGCCACGAATGTAGGCACGTCTTCCGGGTCAGTCTCCTTCAGGAGTGTGATAATATCTTGGAGAATCTTCACGCCTCGATCCCTCCGGCAAGATGGCATCTCTTCTCAGCTTTGCCGAGGCTCTGGAACAGCAGCATCTTGCCACTGCAAATCTCATCCTCGTTGAAGTTGGATTTGCAGATCTGCACATGCTGACTTCGTCCATGGTATCATTGGCGTGTTGGATAAACGTTATAATAATAATTCTCACTGCGTAATGGAGCACGTCCGTTTCCGAAAGCAAACCGGATCGCACTTTATGGTCTCACACAAACAAAAGTCGACAACACTAGCTTATTTTTACAAATATTATAAATATACAGATAAAACACACATTCATGTCATACTTGGTACTTGGTACTTGGTGTAACGGGCTGGTGTCCGAAACTCGACGTCAAGGCGCCTATTTTGCGTATGGTGGGTGCAGGGTCCTACTCGTGCCACCCAAGCTCCTCCAGGAATCTCAGCAGCCTCTCGGTTTGCTAAAGACTTCGGGGAGCGACCTTGGCACTCCAAGGTACTTTGCCCTGTAGTTGGCCACGCCGGAGCACTTTAGTAGGATGTGCGCAGCCGTTTCCTCCCCCTCCATGCACGCTCTGCATAGAGGGCTGTCTGTGATACCTAAATTGAAAAGGTGTTTATTGTATGGACCATGACCTGTTAGGGCAGCAGTTAGAGTGCGAAGCTCTTGCCTGTTGAGTTTAATTAATATTCGTGATAGACTGGCATTGAGCGTTGGGAGAGCTTCCTCGCCTGTCTACAAACCGTAAGGGTGGTCCATGTATTATTATGTGAAGTTTTTGTACCTTTGTGTATAGTTGTTCTGGACCATTGGTAGGGGAGGGACACTATGGGTTCTGGTCCTACTGCGTCCGTCTCCGACCCTTTTCTGGCTAGTTCATCTGCTGCGTCATTGCCACGTGAGCCGCTGTGTACTTTAATCCACTGTAGAGTTAAGTGGTTTTGTATACATACCTCCATGAGTGCTTGATGGCATTCATAAATGAGCCCTGAGTTTATGTCATAGCTGTTCAGTGCTTGAAGTACTGACATACTGTCAGAGAGTATTCGAATGGAGTGGTTCTTTACTCTTCTCGCTATGATTGCTTCTGCCGCCAACTTGATGCCCATGCATTCAGCCTGGAATACTGTGTTGTGGTCACCAAGCGGTGTTGATATTCTGATATTGAGGTCTTCTGAGAATACCCCAGTACCTGTTCCTGAATTTGTTTTAGATCCATCAATGAAGACGCGGACCTCTCTGGGGTTCAGTCCTTCATTTGGATCTTCAAACAATTGTATCTTGTATTTTTTGTCGAAGATGTATTGTTTTGGGATCCTATCCACAGCCGCCTCCAGTAGCGGTTCCTCATTGACTGTCTTATAAAGGATTTCTGTATGTGGGGTCCTCATGTGCTTCCAAAGGCCGGTTCTGTTTAGACGCACTGCTGTTGACGCCACTTCCTATCTGATGAACATTGGGAGGGGTCGCAAGTCCAGCATCGCTTCGAGGGCCCGCAGTCGGAGTTGTCCTCATGCAGCCGGTCGTTGCCATGCAAGCGACTCTTTGGAATTTTTTCAGCTTGTCGGTTGAGGTCGTCAGTTTGGTTCGTAGTCACCATACTATCGCGCCGTAACTGATCATGGGTCTTATCACCGCTGTGTAGAGCCATAGTGTTATTTTGGGTGAGAGTCCCCATTGTTTACCTACCATTCTATGGCACTGCCAGAAGGTGATAGTGGCTTTTTTAATTTTGTTGTCCAGATGCTTGTTCCGATTCAACTTGTTGTCCAGTATTACTCCCAAGTACTTGACTTTGGTTGATATCTGTAGTTCTGTACTGAAGAGTTTTCGTAGGAGGTAGTTACCCAGTAGTCTTTTGTTTGTAAACATTACAAGTTCCGTCTTTGTTGGGTTCACCGATAGTTCATATGCCCTGCACCATCTTTCCACAATCCGGAGTGCAGCTTGTGTAATGTCGCAGAGTACATTGGCATAATTTCCTGTTAACAGTATAGCTATGTCATCAGCATATCCTACTGTATAGAAATGTTCTTTGTTCAGTTTAATGATGGGGTCATTTACGACCATGTTCCACAGCAGAGGTGACAGTACCCCTCCTTGAGGGCATCCCTTCGCTACTATGGCCCATGGGGTCTTATTTGCTGTTGTTTTTATTGTTCTCAATTTTAGCATGTTGCTAATCCAGCTGATGAGCACTTCATCCACTTCGTGCCTCCTCAGTGCTGATTGTATGCTGGAGATGTTGGTTTTATCGAAGGCTCCTTCAATATCGATAAAGGTGCCGAGGCAGATTGCTTTGTCTTTGAGGGCCACTTCTATCTTGCCCACAACGGCATGTAGGGCCGATTCAGTGGATTTGCTTTGACTGTATGCATGTTGGTTTCCGTGTACTGGTATGTTCTTAAGCGCTCCATCCCTCAGTTCTCTGTCACATTACCTTTCTAATGTTTTCAAAAAGAATGTGTGAGAATGATGTGAGGCTGATTGGTCTGAAGGACTTCGCATTAGTGTAATCGTTTTTACCTGGTTTCGGTATAAATATGACTTTTACCTCTCGCCAGCTGTAGGGCACATAGCTGAATGCTAGACAGGCCTGAAAGATGTTGACCAGGTGCTGGACCAGTGTGTCCCCGCCCCATTGTAGGAGTGCGGGGAATACTCCAACTTGGCCCGGAGCTTTGTACGGTTCAAAGGTGTTTACTGCCCATTTTGTCTTTTCGTATGTTAGTACTTGTTCAGCATATCGCCAGTTATGGATCGATGTATTGTAGTTCATTTCTTCGCACCTTTCGTCTTGGACGAACCTACATCCTGGGAAATGTGCTTCCAGTAGGGTTCTCTCCGTGTCCGCAGGGGAAGTTGTATATGTGTTGTCTATTTTGCGTATTGAACCTAGCTCAGTTGAATTTGAGTTGCCTAGGATTTTCCTTATTCTGTTCGCTTGTGCACAAGACGTGATGTTCCCGCAGTAGCCTCGCCAGGACGCGGTGCTCTTGAATCGTATGTGCTTTTTTAGCTTGGATTTGGACGTCTTGTAGTTTTCCCAGTCCTCATCCGCGCATGTGTTCATTGCTCTATTGAAGCGTCTCCTTACCCTTCTTCGTAGCCTCTCAAGCTCAGGCCCCCACCAGTGTTGGCCTTGCCGCGGGGCAGATTCATTCGGTGGGCATGCGGAATCATAGCTGCTCAATATGTTTGATGTCAGTTCTGTAACCTGTGTTTCTATCTGTGCTGTGTCCAGCAGTCTTCCCGGTGCTACCGGTTCCCCAAGGCTCTGGTGTAGTTTGTCAATGTATATTTTACGATCGGTTTTTCGGGGATTCCGTTTCGGTTGTTGTTCTTTGATGGTTGTTTCTAAGTTGAATCTTATCCATCTGTGGTCCGAGAAGGATGTTTCTCCGGACACGTGCCAATCTTGGACAAGATTTATTGCTCCTTTGGACGCTAGAGTTAGGTCTATAATCGTCCTGCATCTTTTATTTACGAAGGTTGGTACTGTACCTTTATTAAGGATTTGAAGGTTAGTTGTGAATAAGTAGGTAGTCTGTTAGGTTCGTACCTCTGTCATTAGCAAGTTCCAAGCCCCACAACGGATGGTGGGCATTGGAGTCAGTGGCCACGACGATGTGCTGGCCGCTCTGCTCGCAGTATTTGATTAGCCGTTCCATTTCCTGCGGTGGTGGTACATCAGTCTCCGCCATATAGGCAGAGGCGAGCACCACTTCAGGCAGGCCCGGGGCCGTGTCAGCTAAAAGCTTGACGGCACGGTCTCTGGAACAGAATTCTGTTAGTACATGTAAATTATTAGAGTAATATATGCAAGTTCGTGGTTTTTCTGAGATGGTAGTTGATATCAGCTTACCTCTCATTTGTGAGAGTCCATTTATTTGGCCGCAGGCGCTGATCCATGGTTCCTGGATCAGTGCCACGGCTGTGTTGTTTGCCTCCAACCATTTCCGGAGTTGAACTGTTGCGGCCTGGCTGTGGTGGAGGTTGCATTGGATGATTAGTGATTTACTGAGCGAGGGGGTAACTGTCATCAGTGGACAGCAGCTCCTCGTCTTCGTCCTCGCTCAGTCGGATGTCTCCTATCCCCGACACGCACTCGTCCGCAGAGACGAGGGTCAGGGAGGGCTCCTTCCCTTCTCCGGTGATGCCAGAGGAGGTAGAGGGCTCCGGGGAGACATCCATCGGTGGTTTATTGATGTCCGCCTTCTCAGGCGGCGTATCCGTGTACAGGCCTCTTTTGGATCTGAACCTGAGGTAGACCGTGCCTAACTGGAAAGTGAAGCGCCGGTCATGCCCCAGGACAGCCTCCCTGAAGAACTGGTCCCAGTTCTTCGGGGAGGCTCACCACCACGAAGGTATGTCCACTTTGCTTCTGCAGCTTGCGGACAAACCAGCGGTGAACCTCCGCCCATGGGTTTTGCCACTTGCGGATGCGGCCGATTCGGCGTGCATCCTCCCAGTGACTGGGAATCAACAGTCCGCAAACTGCCCTCCGGGGAGCCTCCACCCCATTTTTCAATGAGAGGGGCTCCCCGCTCGGGAGCCTGATGGTGCTAATGGCATCTTCAAGCCACTGGAATGTGGCTGTGTCGTGGCACCACAATTTCAGGGACCCGTCACTAAAGACAGGTTTACCCCTGAATTGTGGGCCGACGTCCTCCTCGTCGCACTCCTCCGCTCCCTGGGCGAGACTTTCATGTCATGTCCGTATACAGAATACGCCTATAAAAAATAAATCGATTTTCTTTAATATACTAGAGACGGAAAGTTATCGACGTGACGGTGTCGATATGTATTAATACGTACTGGTTAATCACGTATATGAAAAGTATAATTCCACCCTTGGCTAGACTGGATGTAGAGGATTTCTTTTTGCAATTTTGTGTGTAGTGCAACAGTGGTATTGTTTTACTTGTATTTACCTGAGGAGTTTGCCCATTGACTTATCTATAAATGGATGACAATAAATACAATCCAAAGTGTAATCCAAAAACCGCGAAAAAATCGGTTTTTTTTTTTCAGTTCTTGTTATATATACAGCGTGTCCCAAAATTCAACGATAAGCGGGCGCTGGAGGGTGGACCTGCGCATAACTACTTGAGGAAAAATAAGAAAAAAAATTTATCTCATTTTTTTTTTTAAATTACGATAAAAAAATTGTTATTCTTCGAAAATTTACTCCCTTAATGATATTTTAAATCACTACGACCACAATTTTTCAGATATTTCTGATGTTTTTATTTTAACGGCCACCTAAGTAGTACTGCTGTCTACCACAACTCTTAAAATTCCCAGAATGCCTGCAATTTTACAAAAAAATCCATCAAAATATTTTTTTTCCTTGAAATTTTGAAATATTTTTACCTGCAGTCGACTTTCACTCATCGTTTTGTAAAAAAAAAGTACGGACACCACTGCGTCAATTTTTAAAAATACTTGCCGCATTCCAAAATGGTATAATACTTTAAGAGAACTAGGCGCAAAAAAATATTGGTACCATTTCTAAGAAAGACTAAATTTCTTGATTATTGTTCTTATTCATAATAATCACTTTCACTATGTGCCGAAAAAAGATTATTTGATGCAATATGCAATAAAAATTATTTAAGCAATATTTACCAAATCCAGTCTTCCAGGACGACTTCTTACTTTAATGCTTATGTTTTATTTAACCGCTTACCCCTATATTTAATTAAAATAAACTAAAATTGATGTTTTTGCAAATTGTGGGAAAAAACTCAAATTAACGGCGACAATTAAATGACAAAAAAATGGCGAAAATGATGATTTTGCTCATTTTTATTGTAAAGATAAGAAAATTAATAATCTGTATTTCCACCATTAACACGAATCACACAATTACAGCGATTTGGCATGCTTAAGATGAGTTCATCAAAATCACTTTGAGGAATGGCCGCCCATGTGTTTTGTAACAAGTCAAAATATTGTTGTAGAGTATGTACGGTATGCATACTCGGCACAGCTCTTCTTTGAAGCATATCCCATGCGTGCTCAATTGGATTGAGGTCTGGCGATTGAGCAGGCCACGGCAGAACGTTGATACGAGCTTCGGCAAGAATGCGTGTTACGACTCTAGCCGTGTGTGGACGTGCGTTGTCATGCATTAGTTGAAATGAATCACCCAACTGGCCTCGCAAAGGGATGATAACATCTGAAACAATCCTCTCTGCGTAAACTTGAGCATTCAGGTTACCCCTGATCCAAATGAGATCGGTTCTTCCGCCGATCCAAATACCGGCCCATATCATTATTGTTCCCCCACCATATGGATGAACTTCCTGACAATATCTCAAACGTTCATGACGTCCAGATGTTCTCCAAACTCGAGTACGTCTTGTATCCGGTCTCATACCGAAGCGGGATTCATCCGAAAAGCACACATAGCGCCAGTCTTCTTCCTCCCAGTTTCTGTGTTCGCGAGCCCATCGTAAACGGGTCCTGCGATTGCAGGGTCCAATAGGTGGAACTCTGAGCGGCCTTCGAGATCGCAGACCCACTTCA